ATGAGAGGAAGCTCGGGAATCCTCGGAACACGATCATAACCTGAAAATACACGAAAACAAGCAAATAAAAGGAAAAAAGACCAAATAAACATATAAATGCACAAAGAAAGAAATCTAACTAAGGAAAGCACAGCTAAAGAAACAAAGAACAAACTAAGGAAAACTAAAGAAAAGATATATAAAATAGCATGGAATTCATCCTAAAAGAAGACAAATGAGTACCATAAATGACACTCATCAAATTCCCACACGCTAAACTTTTGCTCGTCCCCGAGAAAAACAAAGCAAGAAAGGATAAGGGTGAAAGACTTTTTCAAAAACAAAGACTCAAGATGAGAATATACATTAAGACTCACTGTCGTAGGAATCACAGTTGTTTTTTGCTACAACAAGCCATTTTAAACCCCTAGATTTCCCTAGAGGACCAGTAATGCTTTCGTAAGGTTATCCTAAGAGTTTACCCATAACTCTCCCCCAACATCCAAGAGGTAAAACCATAAAAAGAAAAGAAAAAGGGAAAAGGGAAAACAAAACCTTTGCGAAATGGACTTACAAAGAGACTACATTGCAAATGAATGAAAATCTTTCTCAAGAAATCAAGGTATGCATGTTCCAAGATATCCAAGGTTGATTGAAACATAATGTATGATAAGCATAGGAAGTAGACATCACAATCCACGTTCATCCCAAACGATCTTACCGCGTTCTCCCCACTAGTCTCAAATCTCCCCTTAGTGAGCATCCCAATGATTCCTCGAAAGAACCGGAAAAAGAGATTTATTTAGGCTACTCGACAATCTTGACTATGCACCCCTTTCCTTAGGCAATGACCTATGATTCCCTCCCCTGAATAGTGACTCAACTTCTACGTCGAAAGGTCTTTCCCAATGGTTGTAACGTAAGGCATAAAGAGTGAAAGTAGGCTAAAATATAAAATTTGGCGGTTTTCCTAAATAGTGAAGCAAAGGGGTGATCAATCCTCAACATCACGATCAAGAAATCACCAAACAAAAACAACAACACCCCCAAGTTTATTCAAAGCTATGCTCACAAGAATATGTACAAAAAGCTTAAACGCTTCTCCCCCAAACGTAAATGAAGCATTGTCCTCAATGCTTAGAAGGAGAAAAGATTACAACAAAATATTTTTAAATTTTTTCATGTTTTCAAATTTTTTGTTTTGTTTTGTTTTGTTTTGTTTGCTATGCTTTGTCCTTGCCTCTTTCCAACTTTGGACGGCTTTTTCAATTTTTGCACTTATTTGTCCATGCATTTTATAATTAAGGACATATTTTTACTCATACTCATTTTCCATTATTCATAAAAAAAATATAACTCAAGCTTGCATCAAGTGAACCACATATCCCAACTTTTCACCACAAACTCCATCAAGAATGATCAATTGCTTCACAAAAAATAAGAAAAGAAAGAAAATGAAACAAAAGGCCAAAGATCTAAAGATGTGGCTTGAAAAGAAGGTAATAGGCTCAAATGGTTGCAAGAAGGCAAATGTAAACCCAAAAACAAAGATGAAACAAACTATCCTAAAAATGAAAAATACCACCCCGAAAAGATGCCTTTGTCCTCCCTACATAGCTCGGTCTCGGGTTGAAAAATCATATATCAAGCTTTATAGATTAGGTCCGCAATAGTCAAGGATCCACGCCGCTAAAAAAAAATAGGTTGAAGGCTTGAAAAACAATGAACCTCACATGGATGTAGCAAAAACACAGTAGAGGTGTTAATTCGACTATAGGGAGCAATTACCAACATGCCACAAACAAGTAGAATCCGGCTTCATGATCCTCCTAGTTCAAACCAACTACCCTATCATACACCTATCCTAGAATCAATCAAGCATAGTCTCAAACCGTGCATACCTTTACTACCCAGGAAGGAACTCATTGAAAAGACAAATTCCAATGTACAATGTCCAATTCATAAGGAAAACAAAAAGGGGTGAAAAACAAGCCTAAAAAACATACCACATATGAGGACAAGAACAAAGTAAAAATAAGGGAAAAGAAAAATAAAAGGAAAAGAAAAGGAAAGGAAAGCCGTAGATAAAGGAAGAATAGGAAAAATCGAGAAAGGAACTAGAAAGCAAGTTAAACACATATATCCCAATCGACATACAAGTGATCGAATGACAACATCGTCAACGATCCAAAATACATTACGTGTTAACAAGCAATCATCCTCGAACCGTTCAACTTCCCCTAAACTAAACCTAATCTATGCATCCAAAGAAAATAAAGAGGAAAATTCGAAAGGTCTCACCAGGCTATCCATGCTTAGCATAATAAACAAAGGCGATAGAAAGAACCACCTTCGTTGCGCTCCAAAATTGTAAGCATCATCAAAAAGCCATGTGAGAACAGGAAAAGCAAAAGAAGCTATAAACAAAGGTAAAGGTTAGTAACTTCAAAACAAAAGAAAAAGCTACTACAAAGTAAAACTAAACAAGGCTAACAAAAACACTAAACAACTATGCAAAACTAAGCTAACAAAGACCAAAAAGGAAAGTAAAGAAAGACTAAGTAAACAACTAAAAAACTAACTAACTAAAAGACACTAAACTAGAAGATTTTGATTCAAAGGGATTTGGATTCAAGGGTTTTGGATATAAGGGAGCAAGAATCAATCAACATCATCACAAGGAAAACATCACAACAACAATGGAAAAACAAGCTCATGGGACTAGCAACAAGCATCATCAAGACTAGAGACTAAGATATGAAAACCATCATGCAAGAGGCAAATAAAATACAAGGTAAGAAACAACAACAAATATTGGCAACCGAGATACAAATGAAGTTCTGATAAGCCTTCTTATCATGGGTTGAGAGAAGCATTTTAGGGTGTGTTTTGATGCTTTATATGTACTTTTGTTAGCTTTTGTGAGTTTTGGGCTGTGATCTCACTTATGTGCAAAAGGCGCGATTTATGAGTATAAGTGAGTGAGTGAGCTCGGGAACCAATGAAGAGTTATGTAAGAAGGATGGACCTTGGCTCGTGATTTGAGAGTTGTGATGGAGCATGGAAGAGCAAGGAAGAAAGCTTGAGGAAAAGGTGAAGCAAAGCAAGAAGAAGAAGCAAGGAAAGAAGGCAAAAACAGCAGGAACCGCTGCCAGGGCCGCTGGCAGCTGGCTAGAGCCGCTGGCAGCGGGTATACCAGATTGAGGGGCTGCCAGAGCAGCTGCCAGCGGGTCCAGAGCAGCTGGCAGCGGCTCTGGCAGAAATTCGGGCTGTTTTGGTTAATTTTCAGCAATTTGGCTTTGTTTTGGCTCGTGTTTTGGATATTATTTTATTATTATTATTGTGTTATGTTATTAAAATATAGAAACATATAAATAGCTTAGTTTTAATTAAGTTTTAAGTTAGAAAAGGAGAATTAAGTTTTGAGAAAAAAAGCTTTCTAGGGTTTTCCTGGAATTTTCAGAATTCTTTGTTTTGGAATTAGAATCCATGGAAGCTTAATCTTCTGGATTCTTGGTTAAAGATTGAAGCTTTTGGCTATGAATTGTGAGATCTTTCTTCTCTTAATATATATTGAATATATATTGTTCCTTGAATTAATTTCATGATTTGCTTTAATCAATTGCTAGGTTAGAATTATTGGATTCGCTTGCATCTAATTAATCTTTCCAAAGTAGCAACTTTAGGTTATTGATGCATGCTTTTGGTTGATAACTTGAAGAGGGAATAATATTATTGAAGAAATTAGACCGCTTGTGTTAATTTATTCAATCCTTGTTGATTTCTCCGTTAATTTTCTTCTTGTGGATAATTTAGAGCGCTTGTCTTGAATTGTGCATTGGAAAGGGTTAGAAAGGAGCGCTTTGCTATTTCTAACTATTTATGAGAATTTAGAATCTAGGAATTCTACAACAAGGTGTTCAATAGAGCTTGATTGAGGAGACTTCTATGATCAATTTGTATGTTCATTAGTGGATTTCGCATAACCAAGACCGTTATTCTCATTGATTGCATACTATTTACGTTCATTGTTCTGATTTAGTTTAATTGTCACCATTGCTTGTCAAAACCCCCTTGTTACTTAGATTACTACGTTCCTAGAGTAATTCCACTGAGGTTTGCAGTTATTAGTCCCTTTTTCCCTGTGGATTCGAACTCGACTCCCCTAACTACGTTTATTTGCAGTTAGCTTAGTTGTGATATTTTTGGTTGCATACGACTGAGGCACACCAAATTTTGGCGCCGTTGCCGGGGAATTAAGGCGTTACTTTTTAATTGTTTATCTTAGTAGAATTTATTTTAGGACTGTTCTTAGCTATCTTTCTTTGTTTGTTCGCTAGGGTAGGATAAGTACCCGTTCTGCTAACAAAGAAGTTTTGCAGTTTGATCCAGAAATTGAAAGGAATATTTCCAGGTTGCGAAAAGAGGCAAGAACAACCCCCAGTGAATCAACGTACTCCTTCAATATTCAAGAAGAAGAGGAGATGGCTGACAATCGAACTCTAAGAGAACTTACAGCCCCTAACTTGAACCAACAGCCGTTGTGCATTGCATATCAGCAATTGGAGGAAGGTACTAATGTTGAGATCAAATCTGGCCTAATACATCTATTGCCGGCATTCCATGGCATGAAGGGTGAAGATCCGAATAAACATCTGGCAGAATTTCATGTGGTATGCACCAGCATGAAACCGATTGGGATGACTGACGAGCAAATTCAGTTGAGAGCATTTCCTTTCTCTTTCAAGGATGCAGCGAAGGATTGGTTTTACTATCTTCCCCCAGGTAGCATAACAAATTGGGCAGATTTGAAGAAGTGTTTCCTTGAGAAGTACTACCCAGCCACTATTTCTGCGAGCCTTAAAAAAGCTATCAGCAATGTGGATCAAAAGGAAGATAAATCCTTGTATGAGTATTGGGAGAGATTTAAGAGATTGTGTGCTAGTTGTCCTTACCATGGGTATTCCGATCAAGACCTCATCCTATAATTCTATGGAGGTCTAACTGATGATGACTTGAGGATGGTGAATGCAGCAAGTGGAGGAGGGCTAGTGAATAAGACTCCAGGAGATGCAACTAGGCTGATTGCAGAGCTAGCAGAAAATTCTAGGCAATTCAGTCAGAGAACTCCCACGCGCCGGGTGAATGCAGCAAATTCAAATACAACTGAGTTAGAGAGTCAAGTAGCTGATTTGACTTCTATGATGCGTGAGTTCATGGTGAACTCAAGGAATCCACAGCAACTGAATGCTTGTGGTTTATGCACCTCCATGGGACATCCCACTGATGCATGTCCTCAATTACAAGAGGAGAAGAATGAGCAGGCCAATGCAATGGGTTTCCAAGGGCAAGGTCCTCAGAGAAGATATGATCCATATTCAAATACATACAATCCAGGATGGAGGGATCATCCAAATTTGAGATATGGGAATTCCCAAGGAAACCAACAACATCAGCATGCTCAAGGTCAACAACAGTTTCAGCAATATAGGGCACCGTTCCTAACACGTCAAGGCCAAAGCTCTAATTCAGGCAATATGTCAACTGAAGAAATGATTAGATCACTAACTTCTAATGTTTCTACCATGCATCAGAATATGATGCAGTTTCAACAAGAAACCAAATCAAGTATTCAAAACCTGGAGAATCAAGTCAGTCAAATCTCAAGTGCAGTAAGCCGACTTGAAGCTAAGGACTCTGGAAAGATTCCATCCCAATCGGAGCTGAACCCTAAGCAACAAGTTAATGCAATAACATTGAGAAGTGGCAAAAAGTTGCAAGAAACTGTAGTTGCACCTAAGAAGGCTAAAGACTTGATTGGAGTTGAGGACGAGGAAGTAGAACAAGAAACTAAGGCGAATCCGCCAACCTTTACCTCTTATGAGCCTGTGCCACCTTTCCCAGAAGCCTTGCAAGATACTCGAAGGTATGAGAAAGACAAGGATATTTATGAGACTTTCAGCAAATGTGAGGTAAATATGCCCCTCTTTAATGTGATTAAAAGTGTTCCTCGTTTTGCTAAGTTTATGAAGGAACTGTGTACGATCAAGAGAAAGCACAGGTTGGGAGGAAAAGAAAAAGTGAAGGTGAGTGCTCATGTTTCTGCAGTTTTCCAAAAGAAACTCCCAGAAAAATGTGGTGATCCTGGTATGTTTACTATTCCTGTTACAATAGGAGACACCACATTACACCGAGCCATGTTGGACCTAGGTGCATCAATCAATGTCATTCCCTACTCCCTGTTTAAATCTTTAGAACTTGGGCCTTTGCATGAAACTGGGGTAGTAATTCAGTTAGCTGATAGGTCCAATGTATATCCTAAGGGGGTAGTAGAAGATGTACTTGTTAAGGTTGATGGATTGATCTTTCCTGCTGACTTTTACGTCCTTGACATGGAACATGACAAACAAGCAGCCCCCATCCTGTTAGGAAGACCTTTCTTAAAGACTGCTAAGACAAAAATCGATGCGTCTACCGGTTCTTTGACTATGGAGGTTGATGGGAAAGCAATTGTGTATAACATTTACGATACCATAAAGTATCCTGTTGATACTCATTCTTTATATTCTATAAATGTTGTCGATCCAATATTGCATGATGTTTCTAACATTGATCATGGGGATGAGCTCCTCACACCTATTACTAATGTTGTGTCTGGTGATTGCTTGGATTCTTCTATACCTACTAATGTGCAGGTGAAGGTGGCGGAATTGAATGAACAGTCCAAGCTTCCACCTATACCACTAGGGGCAACACCCACCCCGTCATCATTTCCGGGCAAGAAATTGTCCCATTTATACCACAAAGCAAAGAATAGGTTGTGGCATGACAAGATGATTGCTAGGAAGAAGGTTAAAGTCGGTGAAAAAGTCCTCCTATAAAAATCCCGACTCAAATTATGTCCTGATAAACTCCGCTCCCATTGGGAGAGTCCATTTCAAGTGGTGAAAGTCTACCTGCATGGAGCGGTAGAAATTCAGAGCCTAGAGACCGACAATGTCTTCAAGGTCAATGGACAAAGGCTCAAGCCCTACTTCGATGGTTTCAAATCCGAGAACATAGAGTGCATTGACCTCTATGAGCCTTCAACCGAGTACCGAAGTGGGATGAGTTGCGTCGAGCCAACGACGTAAAACAAAGGCGCTAATCGGGAGGCAACCCGATCGAAAACTCTTCCCCATTTCTTTTCGTAGTTTATTTTTTTTTTAATTTTTCTTGTGATGTGAAGAGTGTTTTTGTTGTTTCTATGTAGGTGGAGGCCTCGGGAGCATCTTTTATGCCCGAAACACAGCAAAAACAAGCTGAAACAGAGCCAAAGGGGACATTCCCTGCTGAAGCCGCTGGCAGCTGCTCTGCAGCCGCTACCAGCGGGTCTTCAGGCAGCCCAAAAACCCCAGGCTCTGTCCCAGCCGCTGGTAGCTGCTGCAGAGCCGCTGCCAGCGGCACCCCCCCTCAAAAAAAAAAAAAAAAAAAAAAAAAAGGAATCAGTATCAGCCGCTGCCAGCTGCCCCGTACCCGCTGGCAGCGGGTCCACCAGCCTCCCCGATTTTTTCCCCCTTATTTCCCCCTTTCCAACTCCTACCTTCATTACTCCTTTCGTAAACCCCAATTCCCATAAACCCTTACTCCTTTTCTCCTCCTTCTCTCTATTCTTTCATCCCCTTACTCCAATTGCACCAATCTCCCTTTCCCAAGTCCTTGCCTTTCATCCACTCCTCAATTCCCATCACAATTACAACCTAGATTTTCCATTTTCTCTTGATTTCAAGTTTGACATTGAGTTGGTTGTGCAGTTGTGCAAGTTGAATTTCTCGTAATTGAAAGTGAAGGTAAAGGTACAAGCATACAATTAGAGTCATGGGTGGGGATAACAAGAGGTCTAAGGCATCATCTCCATCAAGACCCCCAAGGGGCAAGAAGAAAGGTGCTTCTTCTAGTCAAGGTGAGGCACCTCCATTGCCTCGAGGGGATGGATTCATGGGTGTGCGGTTGAATTCCAAGGAGAAGGGGATATGGACTAAGCTACAACAACCACGACGAACGGTGCAATGCACCAAGTTTTTTGACTTAGAAGCTTTGCAAGAGCTAGGCATGGAGGAATTAGTGCGGCTCTTGCTACAGAAAGTGGGTCTGGAGAATTTCATGACCAAATGCTCCCCCACCTATGTCAGGTATACCTATGAATTCCTTTCAACTCTTACTAAAGGACGTGATCAAATTTCCTTTAATTTGAATAATAGGATTTATATTGTATCATATGATGATATTAGAATGGCCTTTGGTTGGGATGCACCCCCATTGGTGAACCATTGGGGTGATTATACCACGTACTCGTCCCGAACATTTTGGAGGGCTATAACTGGTTGTGAAGTTGACCCTCATGGTGATCATAGCTTCAAGATCACTCACCCATGCCTTAGACTCGTGCATAGGTTTATTTCGTCCACTATTCTATGTCAAGGGGAAGCCACTAAGGTTCCCAAAATTACATTGTCTTATTTGTGGGCGATGACCCCGAAGGGTGTCGGTACTCCCAATTGGGTCGAGATTTTTGTTGACAGTTGTGTAAAGGTGCGGTCAAACTCCAGTGGCCACATTAGCATGGGTGGCATGGTCTCTTTGCTTGCTTGTTATTTGAATGTTCCACCCCCTGAGGATCTTGTGCCAGTAGATTCGGCATACTTAACGTATAACATCATGACTCTGGTCAAGATCGGTCTATTATCGCGTTCCCTCGTCGCCGGTAGTTATTTCTGGCGATACGGACCACAGGGTTTGAACTATTTGAGACTTCCTCGTCCCGAGGGACGAGCATTACCTTTTGGCCCTGCTGCCGCAAACTTTTTCCTTGCGCCCGACCCGGATGTTGCCCCCTATTTGGGAGATGCCGAAGTAATAATTGAGAACATGGGAGAGGAGAATCCCGATGTTCATATGGGTGGAGAGTTTGTTGATGAGGAAGGGGGTGAGGATGCTGCTGGAGTGCAGCACGATGATTGGCCTCACTGGAGGGCTGATGTAGATGATAGACTAGAGGAGGTGTGCGATGGGATGCAAGAGCTCCTTGCATATCAGAGAAGCATGAGTCGTTTTATACCGCTCAATATCCACAGTATGAGCCCCCAACTGAGGCGTTCATGGATCACCTGGCATCCCGTGCTTTGCGTCGTTCCGAGAGGCGTGCTTCTCGGGGTGATGCCGGCTCTTCTGGCTCTGGAGGTCCCTCTCATTGAGATGGTAACGATTTTCTTCCTTTTCCCTTACTTTTGGTTTCATTGTAGTTGTTCTTGCATCGAGGACAATGCCTCATTTAAGTAGGGGGGGGGAAGCTTTTCATTGCATATTTTTGAAATTTTGTATAGTTATCTTGATTTCATGATTTGTATAACTATCTTAATTGTGGTTCAATGAGAAAAAAATGCAAAAAGAAAAAGAAAAAAAAAAATTGAAAAAAAAAGAAAGAAAAAGAAAAAGAAACCCGCTAAGCCGAAAACCTGAAAAGGCGGCTAAGGCAAAAATGGGGGCCCGGTTAGGTTGAAAACCCGAAAGGACGACCTAAGCAAAAAAGTGGCTAATGAGTGGGTGAGAAAGTGAGATTTGGAAAAAGATGAGAGGCTAGGATGAAAACCCGAAAGGGCTCTTAGGCAAAATGAGAGAAAAGAGAGAAAAGTTCGTGAATTTTCAAATCTATTTGCCGGAGTCGGTGTCATAAGGGGAGGAGATATAAGGAGGTGTCGGGTAGGTCTCATCTTGGTGATTTTGGGAGATAGTTGAGATTTTGGGGGAATTTGTTGATCATCTTAGGAATTTGAGAGCATGAGTTGTTTGTTTTCACTCTTGAATGTGGAAGTGTTTTTATGAGATTTTTGGTTAAGTTGAGTTTTTGTTTGCCCAATTTTATCAAAAATTTCATTTCTTTAGGCGGTTGAGAATATTCATACTCATGGCTATGCGTTTATCGTTCCAAGTTAATTTTGGGGATGAATTGATAAATAAGAAAAAAGGGAGATTCAAAGTGTGAAGTATGGGGGAGTGTGATTGTGATTGGTTAATAAGTACTAGGATGTTTTGTTGAGTTTGAGTGCGTAGAGCTAGTTTGATTCCACCATCTTCTGTTTTGAACCTTAGTGAGGAGGATGTGTTTTATTCTCTAAGTTTACTCGAGGGCGAGTAAAGGTTCAAGCATGGGGGAATTTGATAAGCCTTCTTATCATGGGTTGAGAGAAGCATTTTAGGGTGTGTTTTGATGCTTTATATGTACTTTTGTTAGCTTTTGTGAGTTTTGGGCTGTGATCTCACTTATGTGCAAAAGGCGGGATTTATGAGTATAAGTGAGTGAGTGAGCTCGGGAACCAATGAAGAGTTATGTAAGAAGGATGGACCTTGGCTCGTGATTTGAGATTTGTGATGGAGCATGGAAGAGCAAGGAAGAAAGATTGAGGAAAAGGTGAAGCAAAGCAAGAAGAAGAAGCAAGGAAAGAAGGCAAAAACAGCAGGAACCGCTGTCAGGGCCGCTAGCAGCTGGCTAGAGCCGCTGGCAGCGGGTATACCAGAGTGAGGGGCTGCCAGAGCAGCTGCCAGCGGGTCCAGAGCAGCTGGCAGCGGCTCTGGCAGAAATTCGGGCTGTTTTGGTTAATTTTCAGCAATTTGGCTTTGTTTTGGCTCATGTTTTTGATATTATTTTATTATTATTATTGTGTTATGTTATTAAAATATAGAAACATATAAATAGCTTAGTTTTAATTAAGTTTAAGTTAGAAAAGGAGAATTAAGTTTTGAGAAAAAAAAGCTTTCTAGGGTTTTCTTGGAATTTTCAGAATTCTTTGTTTTGGAATTAGAATCCATGGAAGCTTAATCTTCCGGATTCTTGGTTAAAGATTGAAGCTTTTGGCTACGAATTGTGAGATCTTTCTTCTCTTAATATCTATTGAATATATATTGTTCCTTGAATTAATTTCATGATTTGCTTTAATCAATTGCTAGGTTAGAATTATTGGATTCGCTTGCATCTAATTAATCTTTCCAAAGTAGCAACTTTAGGTTATTGATGCATGCTTTTGGTTGATAACTTGAAGAGGGAATAATATTATTGAAGAAATCAGACCGCTTGTGTTAATTTATTCAATCCTTGTTGATTTCTCCGTTTATTTTCTTCTTGTGGATAATTTAGAGCGCTTGTCTTGAATTGTGCATTGGAAAGGGTTAGAAAGGAGCGCTTTGCTATTTCTAACTATTTATGAGAATTTAGAATCTAGGAATTCTACAACAAGGTGTTCAATAGAGCTTGATTGAGGAGACTTCTATGATCAATTTGTATGTTCATTAGTGGATTTCGCATAACCAAGACCGTTATTCTCATTGATTGCATACTATTTACGTTCATTGTTCTGATTTAGTTTAATTGTCACCATTGCTTGTCAAAACCCCCTTGTTACTTAGATTACTTCGTTCCTAGAGTAATTCCACTGAGGTTTGCAGTTATTAGTCCCTTTTTCCCTATGGATTCGAACTCGACTCCCCTAACTACGTTTATTTGCAGTTAGCTTAGTTGTGATATTTTTGGTTGCATACGACTGAGGCACACCAAGTTCCCCCAAGCTAAACATGATTACATCTCAACATTCCAACAATACAAATCAAGCACATAAAAAATAAGGGATGGAGGTAAAAGGCACAAAAAGAGGGAACTATGACTCATCATTACCACCACCACTTGGCCCGGCCTCATTGGAATCATTGCTGCCCATTTAGTCATCGAAGGTTGGGGGTGAGTAAGGAGCCCAACCACCAGTGAATCCCTCGGGCCAACTATAATGCCCCTTGAAGTTATCTTGGTGCCAAGGGGCAAGAGGTGTGAATCGCTCGGGCAAGGTAAGCTCAA